TTTTTTTTTTTTTTTTTTTTTTTTTTTTTTTTTTTTTTTTTTTTTTTTTTTTTTTTCTTCCTAATGCAAAAATAACATTTCACAAATAAAATTTCGTAACTTGCAAATACAGAAAACACGACAGAGCCCTCCCGGCAAATCCATTCCTGAGCGAAAGGACTACATTGTGTACAGAAGCGACTGTCAACAGGACGACAGCGCAGTGATGGGCTCGCCCATACCAGCAATGGCATGGGACGTCTAATCCCAACGCCCCATCAGCCCACCACGTCTTCCAAGGCAATGAGCTCTTTCAGCCAAGTATCCGTACCTCGCACGAGACTGACCACTTTAGAGGAAAGAAAAAAAAAAGAAAAAGAATTATTTTACGACTCGTTGCAGAGGCCATGTGCGACCTCGTGATATGCAAACTCAGTCACTGCAGCGCTTCGGTCGCCGGAGGCATGGAGATGGTGTTGCTCTGCGAAAAAGTCACGAAGGAGGACATCCAGGTGAGGTTCTTCGAGGAAAAGGACGATCACATCCTCTGGGAGGCACTGGGGGATTTCCAGCCGACGCAGGTTCACAAACAGGTGCGCTCATCTAGATTATAGACCGACAATGTCCGCGAACCAAACACATTTAGCCAAAAAGAACGATCTTTTACGCATTATCAGTCGCCCTTTTGATAAAACAATGACGAGCAGCTCGAGGGGCCGCTCTTGAGGTCTCGATGAAAAGTCCGAAGCCTTTTCAATGACTTGAAAAGTGCGCAGCCCCTCAGAGTAGTCCGACTCACCGATTGTCCTTTCCCTCACTGAGAGAAGGACTTGATAATATAACTTACGTATAATATGTTTCCCACGGGGTGCAATCTGACGTAAATATGGCATGTTGAATATTAACATGCCGTCTGTCCGCAGTTAAAATTTAAAAAGTTATAAAGAACATGTAAAGTAATTTTCTGTTAACATACTTGATGGTAAACAAATCCTTCTCTTAGTGCTCGCCGATCGATGTATCAAAAAAATGAGAAAAGCCATCGTTTCGTAGGTGGCGATATCCTTCCGGACGCCGAGCTACAGGACCCAACAGGTCGACCAGCCAGTCCAGGTGTTCATCCAGCTGCGACGGCCATCGGACAACGCGACGAGCGAGCCCCTGCCCTTCCAGCTCCTGCCGTTGGGATTAGGTAGGCCCAGCCATCTCCTGTCGTTGCGCAAGACTCTCGCCCGTAAGAAGGCCGCCTACGAGCTGGCAGCCGCGTTTTCCCCGACAACTCTCGATAGGTGTAACAACAACAACGGTTACGATAAAATTAACATCGGTAACGATAGGCTGTCCGCCCTCCGCGCTCTCGGCGACATTTACACCAACGCCCAACGAAACGGTCACGAGCAGCGGCTCGCGGACCCACAACCGTCACCCTCCGTGAACAGTAGCCGTGCGGCGCCAGAGCGCGACAACGTCGAGGTGATTGTAGTGGACGACGACAAGACCATTGTGCCTGACAAGACCGACGAGCAGGTGATGGACGTCGTCGATGCCGCACCAGAGGCCAAAACCGATTGGTTCGATTACGACCAAGTCGGCAAGTGGGTCCAAAAAGTACACGAGTCCGCAAACGCGACACCTGCTCCTGACAGTCACCACAATAGTTGCAAAAGCAATGGCATTATGGCTGATCTCGCTGTAGTGGGCAACGGTGATAAGGTGCTCAACGAGATACTCGACGAGGTAGTCGAAATCGACCCGAAAAACGGCAACGCGTTAAAAACAGAGCAGTACCACGGGGATTTCCAGGTCTGGGATTGTCCGGAAGATTTGCCAGACCCAGAGACGGTGGTCCTCAGCCCGATAATATCCATAGTCGGAGAGGTGCCCCCGCCCAGACCGCCCCCACCGGCCACTCGGGTCAAGCGGGACGTGTTGTCGTCGGAGGTGGAGGGACCGGTGCCCCCGTTGCCCCCGAAACGGATCCGCAAGACCCCGTCCATGCCGACGCTGGTACGTGCCCCGTCCCAGCAGACCCTGGGCACGGAGAAGCAGCAGCAATCGAAGGCTCTTCCTACCTTGCCGGGGATGAGTGGCTCGCCAAAGCCGAGCAAGCCAAGCCTCTTCTCCAAGCTGTTCTCGAGGAGGGCCAAGCCGAGGGAGGACCGGCGATCGTCGACCGCCAGTCTGCCCGAAGCCACGAGTGGGGCACCACCGGCCGCAGAGTGTGGAGGCTTGGACGTCGACGGGGATGCGACACCCCCGTACGGCGCCGATCTCACCGAGGCCGAGAATTACGCGCTCTACATGGCCATGGCACCCCACGCCACGGCCTCGGAGTTCGACGAGATGTCGTTTTATTACAGCCCCGTCGAGGGAGGGAAGATCTTAGAGAGCAAGGATGGCACTTGAGCGCCCCCTCGGTTTTCAGTTGTGCTCTGATGTTCATCTTCACGTCTGGCCCTATCTGTGTTTTTCTCTTTTTCTTGTGTCCTTTTGCCGATTGGAGGATGGATCATGATGATCGTTACGGCATCCGTTGTTACATCCTGCAAGTGTATTTTTACGAAACGCTTGTTGGGCCCTTTGAGCGTTTCTCCTTTGATTATCGGTGAATCCGCGACCCTTTGTACTTATTTTTTTGAGATTTTTGTAATATCATTGTCAATTTGTTCAAACAGCGCGTTTTGTTCTCTACTGCCACTGGATGAGTGTGTGTCTTTGGATACTCAGATTTTTTTCCTGATTATTAATATTTCATTGTCAGTATGTCATTTTACGGTACGAACGAATTTATTCTGTTCGTATGATTTTTACTAAAGATTCTTGTATGTAGCAGTAATACTTCAAGGAATTTAAAAGAAAAAAATGATGAAATTTTAAAAAGCTGAATCAAATAAGATTTCTCATCTCCTGAATGCATCGTTTCGCTCACTTTAACTTCATCATGCCAATGATTTAGATAAAAAAAAAAGGTTGTCAGAAATGGTTGTATAGTTTATCGATCAGCGTCGTGTTCGTTTTTCAGATACTCTTCAACGCCAGAGGCTCACATCGTTTAACTTGAATTTACAAAGTATTGACTCGAACACTTTTCGTACTTTGGTAACCTAAAAATGAAATCTCGAAATAAATATAAAATTTTTGTGCTAGTCTTAATCCCAAATATTCAATTGCGCCTACAACAATATACTTAATCAAATTTAAGTTTATAATAACCTCGTAGCCTTAAAGTGCCTATTTACAAAGCTTTAGTCTAGTCAAGTTTAAGCTTTATATTATCCTATTGGAATCGACTTATATTAATGCGTTAGATAATAATTAGGAAAGTAAAAATAAGGTTGATTATTTTTGTCGATTTTACTGATGATTTCTATATTTAGGCAAATCCCACTTTTATTTTGTTTTTACCGAGAAGTATCGGCTAGAATTACAAAACCCAAGTACGACAGTAATTTACGCCAAAGCTAATTACACCTAACACAGATTTTTTCCAGATTTTTTTTTAAACGCCGTATGAGACAATGAGTCAATTAATTATTATGATAGTATTAAAGTTTAAGATTGTTTGAGATGGTTGGCTTATAATGTTGCTTTGTAAATCGTGCCCGTAGATGATCCCGATGCGTTAAAGCGAAAAAGACAGAAATTCAATAACAGCCCAAATGCGTATCTATTGAAACACATGCAACACGAGGCTGAAAAACGTGAGTATTTGCAATATAAAGTACTTAACAATATTGTTATGGGTTATTCTTCTCTACTGTTTTTCACTTTTCTCTATTATCTACGTCTACAAACGGTTCATCTTTGACTTGGGTTTAAAGGTGTTGGCAAAGCGCTTTCTGTCATTTATCCATCTCATTTTTCGATTGTAATTGTTATACCTATACATATTTGAGGATCAATGTCATGACTTTCACTGCACGAACCGTCCTTTTTTTTTTTTTTTTTCAAAGATTAAGGGTGCACGAAAATATTACTTCTAGATATTCAATATACTTTTGTTGGATATTTACCCAAAAATTTTCCGTTTGATCTATTTTTCAAAATTAATTTATGTCTAGATGTTGATTCTCATGTCAATTCTATGGTACATAAGACACGTTATCAATGTGTGAAAATACTCTGAAAATTGTACTGGAATGGTAGAATGAGACATTGTTGTGGTTTGAATGCAATATTATTATATTTGTGAAAACTGAATGCTAACTATATTGTTGTGACACTGTCAATGGTATACCGTATCTTACTAAAACTTTGATATTTTGTACTTTTTTAAAAAAAGCATTTTTACAAATGATGAAGCAAAAGAAATTTTTGTGCATTAATGTTGTGATTTGGGAAGAGACTTTGTATTATATCTTCCATATTTTTTTAAGACCAAAAAAACTAGCGGCTTAAAAAGTATACAGCAGCAACAAACTTTTTGCCATTCAATGAAATTGAGTGCCTTCTAACTCTCGAGTATGGTTTAATTTTTGACTTCATGTGCTTCCTTCCGATCGAAAATATTTTGAAATAACGAGTACTCTCGTTAATAATACATTGGGAAAAAAAACAAGCATTGCAATATACCGAAGTGCAGTTGTGCCATATTTTTGAGAGACGATTTTCTACCATGAAATTATAAATTAAGTCGTCGACTTTTCACGAAAGATATATTATTATTATATATTGATGAGTATTGTACCGAGTGATTATAGACACAATATATGTACGTATGTATACATGTGAACTTTTGGATCTTTTTATTTATTTGATACTTGAGTGTTTCCCAAAATTTCTGTTTGTTTTTGTAAACCGATAACTTTCAGATTCACCAATTCGCACAATCGGATCTTCAGGTATGATGCAATAATGTGGTTTTCGTACTTGTTTGTGAAAACCTAGGTTTTAAGTTGATTTTTTCGAGAGAGTTTTCATTGACTGTGTAACTAAAAGCTTTTTGTATTGTATGTGTTAAATGTCGTAGAATACAAGTTTGGCAACAATCATTTTTTTCCCATTTGCTTTTTAATCTTTTTTGTTTTTGGTCTATTCCAAATAACGCTGCACGCTTCACCATTCACTGTTTTAATTGTACAAATGATGGTACATCTATACTGTTTTTCCAACTGCTAGATATCATTTTCTGTCCTATGCTTATATATTATGATAACATTTTTTTAAGATCTAAGAGTATTTTTTGAAAATATTTACTCATAAGTATCTGCACTTGCAGAGCCTGGACGAGGATACAAGTTCCCACAGTACAATATCGTTAAAACTGAGCCCACGGATGGACGATCGCCGTACGGTGGAGCTCAGATGCCGGCTACACCCTCGCTTCAGATGTTTAACGTTGAAAACCCACCAAATATGGGGTTTCTGTAAGGATGTTTTCAGTAATAATACCCAGTAAATCATTTTCGAAATAAAAAAGCCTCACCTCTTGGAAAAACTCAAATGTTACAAGTTATAAGGTACTTTGTTGAAAGTAAATGTTTTTTAAATCTAATTTTCAGGCCGATACATTCGCCAAGTTGTACCCAATCCCCCCCGGAATACTCCATGTACGACATTTCTCCTGCACAGCAGCAACCACGAAATATATTGCAGCCAGTCAACGTACCGCAGGGCTCACCATCTCCCATGTACACACCGTATTCTTCTACAATTAATCAACTAGACAATAATTTCCAGCCTTTTAGTTCGAGTTCGTAATACTTACCGTTACTTTATTTTGATCATGTCCAAATGTGTCAACAATTTTTAAAATAAAATATAAATTCTCGTTCCAGATGATGCAGAGAGCAGTATTGAAACCGCAATTAAAAGTGTGTTGAATACCGGCATTGATAACCAACATCCGTCACAATTCGATTTAAACTTTTCGCCATTCGACAATGGTGACCTGAATAGTCCCAGTATCTCTGACATTGTGAAGGCAATTAATTTTGATACTCTAAGTTAAGACACGACATTGTCACATTGAGCAGATAATTGAATAAATCATGGGTACTTTGCAGGAAGCAGAAGGAATGAATGGAGAACAAGCAGCTGGTACTGGTAATGACATAGGTGCTCTTGACAGTTTTACCAAAATGTGTATACTCAATGACTTTTACAAATCATCTGGTAACAACTGAAGACTGGAAATAAATGAAAGCAAGTAAAAAATATTAAGTTGAAAAATAATTGTAAGCAAGTACGCTCGAATAGCGTAAAAATCTAAGGACTACCGTGCAAATATGTGAATTCCTCGTTTTTGGCTATGTGATGCTCAAAAATCAAATTTTATGAAATTTCGGCTGGTAATCGAAAACTTTTTCGACGAGGAATATTAATTTAATGACACAGTGAGGTGTCTTAAACGAAGGTTATGAATAAAAAAAGTCTTGCGTATTAGGAGCATCTAATCTTATGAATGGCATGAATTCAGTTCACTGTTTCACTGACAGTTCACTGTTTCATCAAGATCTGAAAGCTTCTGACGTAAAACGGACAAGGCAAGCAACATTTGCTTGGTTTCTACAAGAATTTTGTCACTTTTATAATCTGTTGAGATTTATTACTGAATCTTAAACTCATGCTTTTACATTATATCGATTTATATAGCATATCGTAAATTCGCGTCATCGTCGTGTTTACATAAATCTTTTCGTGATGTTTAAGTCTTTTTTTTTTTTTTTTTTTTTATAAGAAGCAGAAATTAGTGTTATCTTTGTGATTTCATGTACATTTTATGTCTTCCTACCGGTCAAATTTGTATCACCGCTTATTATAGACAGTCTATTACAACTTTGTTTTATAATAGACACCATGACTGTATAATGAGTTTCCGTATGAAAAATTTGTTGAGTTTGTAATAAATACTATTGTTATTAGACAAGTCTTTATAAAATGTTTTACAGCATTTATATCGTTAATTATAACTATTATTATCAGAATGTGCCTTTTAAGAAAACTTTCAAAGTACAACGAATTTAATGCAATAGTAGTCGTCAGACAACACATTTACAGAGTTACATGAGCATATTTATTTTCAACCAACCCGAGTGAAAATATTTTTTATACAAAGGCATTATTCTAGCCTACAGATATGTATATATTTTTGTTTCAATGGACTTTTACAAAAGCGCTAAGAATAAAATAAATGTTTTTCTTGAATGTCTCAA